TGGGAAGTGAGTCAGACATGTTTTACATTGTCTCAAGCCTCAGAAATCCAGGTTTGATGATTTGTGTTTCTGCACTGTGCAATTTGCTTCTAGACCACTGGGTTTTTAAAAACCTTTGAAGAATTATTGAAACACACAAATGTTTGTTGTCACATTAGAAACAGTGATTAACCTCTACAAAGAAAAAAGAGACCCAAGGTAAAATAGGTTGACAGTAGAGCTTCAGCCTTTGATTTTGTTGTGGCATCCAAAGGGTCAAAACCTTCCCACAGAGCCGCTACACTAATGGCACAGAGGATGTAAGTAAGACCTGTGGAAAAGTGTATTGATCCCTTAACAACCCGCCCATCGATCAGCACCAGTAAGTGTGGTATTACAGGCAGCCACTATTGACTGTGTAGCATTAATGTTCTGTTACAAATGCTGAAACACACGACCCATAATGCTGTGTTTCCATGAGTCACTCTTTAGTTATACTGGGGCGGCTGTGGCTTAGGAGACAGAGCGGATCGTCTCCTAACCGGAAGGCGACCCACAGCAGAACTCTGGAATAAAGTTCTGTGCTTCTAATTGTAGTCTTGAAATGTCCCGTAGAGCTCAGTGAGCACAGTGAGACAGCAGTCTGTGTAGAGGAGCAATGTGCACAGCGGCTTTTTATGTTGGATACGTGTAGTTCTTCCTGTTTGACTGTGTGTCTTTGGTTCAGTCTCAGGGACAACGAGCAGCGGGCCCAAATGCTGCAGCGGGAGAGGGAGTACTACTCGTCCCAGGCCCAGACGCTGCAGCAGTCGCTCTCCCAGCTTGCTGTGGACAAGCAGCAGACCGAATCCGAGCTCAAGGTGACGCACTGTGACCCGGCAAGAAAACCCCGCTCAGGTTCACCACACTCATCAGCTGCCAGGGTTGTATTGTCAACAACCGTTTCAGAAGGACACTTTTACATGTATGAAATGTTAAGTGAAGATTACGCAGGACTCCCAGACTGAAAACACATGTATCAAACTGAGATGAGGTAACCTTCCATGTCGAGGTCCTCAACCTCACTGAAATAGATTTAAGAAGTTTGGTATGTCGACCGGAGCTCCACTTTTCAGTTGGTACCATATTTAATACCATTAGTATTCAACATTTTTGTCCATTTTACTTAAAGTAAAATGTGCTTTCTAAGTTAAATTCCCCTTTAAGGCCGAGTTGGTAACTGCAGTGTCTCTTCACTGTTCAGCTCTGCAGTGATTTAAATGAATGAAACCCTCAGGAGTTCTGAGCAGACACCAAGCAAACTGTGGTGAAATGTTTTCATTATTTGGATGATTCATATTTAATCTGTTCTCCTCCCCGTTAGGTTCCATTTGTAAACGGTTGCTTCCCAACATGAAAATCTAAATGCTGTTTATTCTGTACATTTAAATTCAACCTTGTCCTGTTAAAATCTGTTTATGGATGTACTGTGTCCACAACAAACATTTTGTGTGTTTCTTTCCTGTGTGTCTCAGGCGGAGATCGAGTCTCGGATGGAGCTGGAGAAGAGGCTGAAGCAGGCTGAGGAAGCTCTGCAGGACCTGGAGAAAGGCCTGGACTCACTGGAACGAACCACAGAGAGAGATGAGGAGATGAAAGGGGACGTGACCCAGCTGAAGAGTGAGTGCGTTCACTGAGATCCACTGTTTTTGTACTGGTCGGTCAGGTCTGTGCTGCAGGGTCAGTTACTGCACCGGAAGCTGTAAAACCCAGAGGCTGGAGGGGTCAGTGTAGAAAAATAAGTTTACCAGAGGACAGCGCAGACCTGGAACATGTCTGGGTTGTGTTTCTGACTGCCAGGGTACCGTGTGACAGGACAGATGTGGTGGTGCTAAACACACAGCAACTGCTCTGATGTCTCTTATACCTGAATGAGTGGAGTCCGTATTATCTGTATTAACCCACAGATAAATGGAAAGTTTAGTTTGATTCTGTCTAATTTATTCACTAGACATTTGCCTCAAATTATTACTGGTGTAACAATTATTTTTATTATCTGTGAATCTGCATATTAATTAGAAGTGTCACTTCTATTATTCTGATGAGACGTAGTCGTCCTGTTTTATTGCCTGGTAGAAAACTGCTGTTAATCTGTTTATCTGACTCTTGATGAAAAATGTTTTTTGTTCCACCAACATCCTGTTCACGTCTGCGTTTACCCAGGGTTCTTTGAGGAGTGTATCTGTGCAGCAGAGATGGAGGCCAAGCTTCCAGCGATAATGAAGAACGCTGTGTATCTTCACAAAGCTGCTGTGCGCAGGATCAAGAGCTGCAGAGTCCAGAGGAGAGCCTCCAGACGCCACTGGTGTAAGTGTGCACATCACACACAGACCGGTAAAACTCAGAATCCATGCATGTTCCCAGGGTCTACAGCAAAACATGTTTCTAAACTTTATTCTTCGAGTGTTGCCTATTTCTGGGCAGTTTGTGCGGCTTCACGATGCACTGTGATTACTGTAGATGAACTCAGCTTCTCAACTAAGAACAAGACTGAGACTGTGTTCATGCTTTTACATTACTGAGTTATTTTATCTAGACTTCACTTTAAATTTAATCCATTGTATTGTTTCTTACCGTTAATGTAAATAATTATCTTTTTATTGTGATATTAGCAGTAGTAGTAGTATTTATCATGGCAGCAGTGCTATTAGAAGTAGTAGTAGGAGTTTTTGATGCAGTAATACTAGCAGCATTAGTAGATGAGGTGGTTGTGGTTCTTGTAGTACAGCGGAGGTAGACAGGAGGCGGTGGTAGTGGTACCAGTACTAGCAGTAGTGATTTCTGTTTTATTTGAAAGTTACAACTGATGATTATTTACATTAATCATTAAGTTTACAAAAATGCCAGAAAGTAGTAAAAAAAAAAAAGTCCATGAGTTTCCTGAGCCCCAGTTTGTCGCCCCTCAGGCCACAACACTGACATAATCACAGAGCAATGCACAGATAAGAAGCTAGAACCATTTATTCATTTATTACTGAATGAGGTCATCATGAACTGTTTTCCACATCTCATTGTCTCTCTCCACAGTGAAACACTCCAAGTCCTGTGCTGCAGCCAGCACCGAGGGCGGCCGTGTGGAGGAGCCGAGGGAGACGGCGCGGCAACAGACTTCAAACAGCGGCGTCAAACAGAGTGCGGACAAGATCACGGCTCACAAGTGTATTCCAAACGAGCCAGAGGACTGAGAGGAGAGAGAGCGAGGTAACACGGGAGAAACGTTCCTCACCTTTACCCACCATTGAAATACTGTAGACGAACGTGCGCAGGCTGGATGGCATCGCGGGCTGCAAAGCACAGTTAGTACAAAGTTTGAGCACAATCAAAGTTTTACAGACTGTTGGGAAGATGCTTTGTTATGGCTTGTTCGACTGCTCAAGAAGATGTACTTCTGTATGTACGGGTTTAGAACAGGTGATGTTTTCATGCTTGAGCTGCTCCACATAGTTCTCAAAAATACTGGGCCACAAGCAGGAGAGTTGGCGACTACACCTGGCTCTGTCTGGCAGCATCAACATCGTGACAGAGACTGACTAACAGAGCTGGAAACCCTGAAACTAGCAGGAACCTCCACAGCAGCAACTTGACTGTACGCTCAGCTGAGACCGCCTCTCTGAGTATTGTTGTCATGCAACTGAATTGTATGTATTGAATGCTCCCTTATGCAAGTATTAAAATCCTTCTGTAAAGAACATGGGCCGTTTGTTTATGGTAGAATAACCACTGATCATCATAAACCTAATGTACAGTATGTAACAGCACTTTGTTCCCAAATGTGTCTTGTGATACATGATGCGTGTCCTCAGCTGCTACTACTGCAATATCCCTGTCCGTACTAGCCCATTCAGTACTTCTACCTCATTTCAAGTACTTCTGACAGTACTACTATGTTGTAATACAATGAAAATGTCTAAGGTTAATAATAAACTGGTTTTCAGCACGTTTTTGTTTTTAAGATTTTGTTTTTATAGATTTTTCAGCAAATTTGGTTTTTGAATTGTTTTTTTTTCAATTTTCCAGATTTTGTTCAGCCCATTTTTGTTCTTTATTATTCTGATTTCTTCCATATGTTTGTTTTTTTTTTACCACTGAATAGGGTGTTTGTTGGTTGTGGGGTGGAGGGGGGGGGGGAGTTGTATAAAGCCTGTAGTTACTGTAGGGAGAGTTGTGTGATGTCTGAAACAGTGATGACAATCAGCAGTTGGGGCTGAACACTGTGGGTGTAGAGTTAAGAAGAAGTCTCTTCTCAATCCTGGCAGCTTGATGTTACATTAGCCCAAAATAACATACATGCGTGTACACAAGCTCTTGTCTTGTACCTAAGATCTGAACGAATGTGACCTTGTTTCACTCTGTATTTGGCCCACAGGACTTCTCAAGTAAGAGTCTGAAGCGAACCAGGAAGTTGGTTTATAGATGGCATGGAGGTGAGCGTTGCCCTGCCTCTCTACAGAACACACATTTAGTGCCTTCACCTTCAAAATAAGAACAGGTGGATGTATGTGCTGTCTGTGTTTTCATTCCCTGTAAATGAGGGCTATGAACCCAGGGGTCTGTTCGTTCCTTAGCTCAGACTGAAGTCTGTATACTAAACATCAGACCAGGGGTTCTGCTCTTTCTGGCTTTATCTCCCTGAGGTTGGCAAATGTCCAGACTGTTATTGAGAAAGATGCACAGTATTTAGGTAATGGTTTGAAAGAAGTTACTTTTAGATTAGGGTGAAGATTTGGTTAACTGTAGGGAATCTAGATGTAAAAGTGGATCCAGGAACACATTTGTTGTCCAGTGACAACTTAATTTTCTTTGCATGGCTCAAAAATGAGCAATTTGTACACTGACAGGACAAATGATAAACCCGCTAAACTGCCATTGATGCCCTAGGGCTCTCTGTGCATTGCAGCTGCCATCTAGTGGTTGGAAGATGACATTGCATCTATGACTGCCATAATAACAGAACTAAACCAAACTAACTGAACTTATTAATGATATTTTTTATGTTTCTTTTGCTTTTATTGTGGCACCTACATGGGCCAGACAGCAGCCCATTAAATCAGTGAAAATTTAACATTTAACATTGTGAGTGGTGCAAATAAAAGGGATAAAGCACAGATGTCAAACAGCTGAAGCACATTCAAATCAATTTAGATGTTGGTCTTACATTCCACAGCTAACAAGACACAATTTCTCTATTGTTGTTACCAATCAAACAACATACATCACTTCAGAGGCTGAGGAGAAAGGGAACATTTCTGATATTTACAAGTACCTTTTTTTCCAAAAGGTGGTGACAGTTGGACCTTTAAACAACAGCGATTACAGGGAATAACACTATGAACTATCAGCTTTGCTTGTTTGTGTAGTTGTTAAACTATTGAAAAGATGGAGATGGAGCACAATTTTAAACTCAAAGAAGAGACCAAACGCATCAAAGCACAGCAGGAACGAGAGTACCAAAAGTTTCTAGATCAACTGAAGCACAAGAAAAAGGAGGTACTTTTGAATTAGTGCATGTGAAAGAACCATTTTTTGTTAATGCTCACATACTTTATCAGCATATCTGTGCATGTCCATTTTGCCTTGTGTCACTGTCATTGATTATAGCTGAAATGCACCTTCTTTAGGTGACACTGTCTGTTGATAAGCTGCCCGGAAATCAGTGTAAAGAATCCATGAAGCAGAGTATGATTCCAAGAAATGAAGATCAGAGAGGTACGCGGTTTGATCAGTATCTGACTTGGGCAGAGTTTCTGATTTGATTTTGTTCCCTCCACTTCTCTGTTTTAGGAACAAACATTTTTGGCAGATCAGAAGAAGTGTCTGGACACCTGGCTAAATAAAATCATCACTGACAACAAGAGGAAGATAACAGAAACAGAGAGAGAGTGTCTTAACAAGAAGCAGAAGCTAACCAGAGGTATAGCATTCCTGATCATAGTAATAACCTCTAGGTCTAGTTCTTATCCCTGGTGTAGAAAGAGGTTACACACTGTTGACATTTTTTCTTTTATTAACTCTGGTTAGAGCATGAAGGTTCGAAATGGGACATGGAGGAGAAAAATCATTATGAGAGACACCAGTTGCTGAAGCAGCAGCTGAAAGATCAGTACTTCCTCCAGAGGCATCAGCTTCTCAAGAAACATGAGACGGTAGGTCAGTGGATCGCACTTCTCCTTGCCACAATAAGTACTTTGTGTACCATTCTACACACATTTAACTTTTGATAGTAAGTAAATCATGTCAATATCAACTCTTGAATCACAGGAACTCGTTGTCATTGGATTTTCCAGGTCCAGCTAAATTTGACATGCAACATTTAGCCCCTCTGTTTTCTGTGCGTGAACACATGCAGCGCTACAATCAGAGAATGATTGAGATCCTGAAAGCACGACAGCAGCAGGAAAAGAACCGGCTGCCTAAGATCCAGCGTGGCGAAGCCGAGACCCGCATGGCCATGTTCAAGAAGAGCCTCCGCATCGACTCAGTGGGCAGCTCTGCAGAGGAGAGAGAGAGGATCAAACAGGTAGAAGGTTTTCTCAGCCCACATGAAGCATGAAGTTAATCAGTAACTCACTCTCTGCTTCTCTCTAGTTTTCACTGCAGGAGGAGAAGCGGCAGAAGGGTGAGAGGCTGCAACAGCAGCAGAAACACGAGACCCAGATGAGAGAGATGAATGGCCAGTGTGAAAGTAACATCAGAGAGCTCCAACTACTCCAGGTGACTCACCTTTGACATCACTTTTCCACTCTGCATGTTACTGTTATGCTGTACTTGTTGGCACAGTCTGTAATTTCCCTACTGCAGTTTCTGAAAAAGTCTCCAAGACAGGACAAAGAATAGAAGGGATTCAAAAGTCCTAATGTGCTTCACAACTCGGTTACCTAGTGTCTTCTCCTATACAGTGTTTTGATTTGTTTGTTTTGCCTTCTGTCAGTCTGCTTCGTGACAGAAAGCACACATTTTTTTTCCAGAAAAAAAAAACACATCTTTCTCCAACCAAACCTCTTTTTGCTAGAGGCTGAAAATATGGTGCAAATGTGGCTGAAGGGTTTTGATAAGTCCATGAAACTCTTCAGATGTAATTTTTTTGCATCAAAACTCACTCTATATATTTAAACCTTTAAATAAATTTTGGTACTAACCTAACTTTCACAGGCTTTGATGTTAGTCAAAGTTGGTGATTATAACACATTTAAAGATTTACTGACTGTTCTCTGTCCTTTTTTCTCTGTGCTCATTCACCTGTTTGTCATATAGCTGCCAAAGGCTGTCTTTATTTATTTTTACTTTTATTTTTTAATCAGCACCCATGGTAAGAAGGATGTGCTTATTGTTTTGTATCTTGTTTAAAATGGGGATGAGGCTAAGTTATCAGAATGCATCATTTCTTTTTAAAGATTATTTAGGAATAAAGTTTTAACATTCAAGGGAAGGCTAACTGTTATTCACAGTGTTTTTTTTTTTCTGTTGTGATTTTACTGTAAAATCCGTCACACTGGATGCAAACTGACAAAACCAAAGCAGAATACTGTGATGTTCTTTGACAGATGTTAGATGGGATTTAAATCTAAATTAAAAGTATGTATTAAGTGTGTAATTGTTACACCATGCTTGTTAACCAAAGTGCAATAATACAGGTATGTCTTTGCTTATAGAGGGATTTCTTTTTCTAAAATGTTGCTTTCCTTTGCACTGAAGTGTGAAAATGTGAGTTTTACTGAGAACAAAACTTTTCAAAAGAAACATTGCTTAAAAATGATTTCATCTTCATACTTTTTAGTACTTGGAAAGCAACATTTTAAGGATCCCATTTTTCACCTGGATCTTATTTTGGAACATAACTCTTCATATTTTCAAAAGAGTGCCTTAACCTGTAGTTTGCAGCCTGTAGAGTTACACTGAATCAGGTACAGCTTCATTTCTCTCACACTGTCTGATAAGTATTTGACTTTGTCACGTTTAATGGTTCCATCTGTTTTCTCCTCTGCCTCAGTTTCCTTAACATTGTTTGTATAAAGGGAATGTGAGTGCGAATGAAACTGTATCAGAAGGAAGCACTGTTCTAACTCAATAAATACAGATTTTCTACTTACAGGATGGTTTGTCATGTGGTTATGAAGACTTTAACATGATGTGATGACAACTAGGCGCTTTAAAAAAGAAAGTTTTAACTCCTAATCTGGGCAAGATTATCAGTCAATTTAAAGTTTCAGTGATCCAATTCCATGACCACAAGATTTGGACAGAAGAGGCAGGCACAGCATCTGTTCTACCAGATGCTACGACAACAACAACAACAACAACAACAACGAAAAGCAAAGAGAAGTACAGGGAAGGATCACCTGTACATTACAG